AATTTTCCGGTATCGACAAAAAATTCTTTCGTTTCCGATGACTTTTCTAAATTGTTAAACAGTGAAGGCTGCCTGAAAGTCGTTATCGCTTAATTTCTTAACTAATTCCTCGGTCTTCTACAGGTGAATGATTGGATGCGGATACATTGAAGCAACGACATACTACATGAATCAACAAAGTATTCATTCGTCGTAGCGACCTTTACGAGCAATGGGACAACAAAGATATACATAACAGGGTAATAAGAACAGAATCACTGATTCACATTCTATGTCGTTAAAAGAGCAACCACGCTGGGATAGTTGTGTGACTTTTCCTATTTTCGTTTGTCTTTTTGTGCATTCGCTTTTTGTATTTGCTTCCTATATACTCCATTATTTTATGTCATTTTTTCATAGCTGCTCAACTAGCGTACGACGTGTTTCGTTATTATGCGTTGCTTAGCTGCTGTCGAGCTTTTTTCTCTCTGCTGATGCCGGTCATTTGTTGCAGAAATCTATTTTTCCGTTATTTTTAAATTTCAGCAATCAAATTTTTCGATAAACTAGACCAGCAAACAAATTTGCCTGCTTTGATAAAATTCTGTTTCCACCTGTTTCGGTGATATGCGTTTCTGTTGCAAGAGGAATTTAATTTGTTTGTAGACTTGCTTACCGCATTCAGTTCATGTAAAAGCATAAACAGGTTGCATTTCTAAATTTTATACCGCAGTGACATTGCTTTCATATCTTATTCTATTGGAAGAAGACGCAGTAAAAATGATCCTCTGCACGAAGCTGTGAATCCCAAAATGTACATCGATCACGAGGCTCATTTAGTGAAGTTGCTAGAAACTTCATTGGCAAAGTCTATATGTGGCCTTGTTTTTTAGCTCACTTGCAAAACTTTGTTCAAATGGATATAATATACTTGAAATTCTGATCATGCACTGAGAAAGAAAACTTTTATTCACAAATCAGCTACGGCACACAGCCACGTCAAGGTACCCCCCCTTTACTTGTAAGACAGGTCGAAAAATGCATAATAACTTTCTCCTAATAGAGAAATATTTATACTGCGCTCAGCTAAATTGTTGTTTGCTTCATTTCATTTTGCATTGTTCTGTTTCGAATAGTCTACATTTAAGTAACCGTTTTATTTTTCAAAGATTATCGATTGTACTTGAAGATACAAATATGCACAGTAATGGCGGGTTACCATCTTTTATAAGTGTAATCGTCTGTATGCCGAGTTATCCGGTTTTAGCATGTTATTTCCTAACTGTGCATTCGTTGATGCCTATTCGATCACGCAGTTTTAAGTTTTGACTCTGACCAAGTGTTAAAATATTCTCGCTACAGCTATTGGCAAGTCAGAACTGCCCTTCTTTTCTCTTATGATTTATTTCATAGGTTCATTTGCATAATTTGCCCGTCGACAGCTTCTGTCGCATTCCTTATGCATAAGGTAATACACGCCATCTCAGGTATGCTTCTATGCTCTTTTTCGAAAACAGATTCTATGGTATTCTGCGTTTCTGTTTAATAATCTGTTTAGAAACGCGAGTTTCTCGATTTAGAGTTTAGAGTATTCTGGACTTCATTTTAGTTTATGGTGCTTCTGTTGAAATAACTTTTTGAGCTTTTAATAACAAAAATTGAATTAGAGTTTCCTAATATAAGTTGTCTGGTTCAAATATAAAATATTGAATATTTGATGTTTTTCTTCACAGGTGCTAATTTGAATCCGTGACAGATTTACTCCCGACTCACGAAAGCCGAGTCGACATAGGCTCCTTGCTTATTAAAGGCTTCGAAACTGCATTAGAAATAAAACCTGTGAGTCAGCATTATGTTATGTGTTAAGATGATCACCTTGAGCCGTTTGCATAAACAAAACGTCTGTTTTTGTGATGCCCGCTATAGTTCGAAGTGTTTCTCGATTGTAAAGGATCCCAGAATGTTTTGCATTTTTAAAAATTGCTTTGTATCGACATTATTCATATTCAAATGTCACGGTGGTGATTCAGAGTGTTTGCGAAACCCTGCTTTATTATACAGTAAATTTCTTATGATACGGGCTTTTGGAGATGGAAATACACTCACTTCGTTTCCGGTTATTTTGTAGAAAATAATTTAAGATCCGTAAATGTACATGACTTATATGAAATTTAGTTGCAAAATCTAACATTAATATCGTATTCTGATTTAAATGCACATTGCTTTATTTTATTAAAATGGTCCGTCATTTTAGTGGCTTCATGCTCCCACATTATTTCATTCTCTCGAGTGACCAATTCGACTCTGAGATAATATATAGAGAGCAGCAATGGTGTCAGTCTTCAAAAGCTTATCAAGATCTTGGTATTGGGTTACGCGGGGGAACCGCCAAAATGCAGTCGTTTGGGGCAGCTCTGCTTATAGCTTCATGGCGATAAAATTTGCAGTGAATTTGTTTATCAAGAAAACAAGTGGAATCATTACTAAATGGGGGCCATGACTGAGTCCGTTAATACGAAAGACGTATTACAACGGACTTTTATTGGTTTTTTGTTTTACAAGGGTTTATGATTTAATATAAAAGTAGATTTGCCAATTATAGTGTGAGTTTAGTTTAGTCTGCATTTTTTGAAACGTTTTTTTGCTGATGATTGAACGTGAGTGAAGTGAGAGTGAGGTTGGTCAAAGTGTAGTAAATTTTTTAACACAGTTGTTAATTAGTTCCATGGTTCCTTTCTTAAGGTAAACTTACTAGCATAGTGAAAGAACCTCTAACATTTACCTGTTCGATGTTCAATGGACATAACCCAGCATTTACTCATCGGTCATCCGTAACACTCAGAGGCAACTGTGCTGAAAGTTCCAATTTATTTGTTACTTGCCGTTACCTGGTAGCCGCCACTTTTAGCTACCGTTCCCGTTTTGCTTGTTGAAGCGACGATCGATCGGCGTTTTTACCACCTCATCACAAGTACGTTACTTAACCAACCCCGCAATTCTGTTTCAAGATTAAAAGCTATATTTGTCTTCATGCTTCGGCAGGTATGGTTTATCTCGCCTTTGATAGGTGAATGGAGTTATTGTGACGCACTCCAGTACTATCGTGGGAAATAGTTATGAGTCATAAGTTTAGATTTTCGTTACGTAAATCATATTGTAAAGGGTCATAGAGTTACAGCATTACTTCGAAATGTTCAGTCATCTGTCGACTCGATGCTGCAGCTGGCGGTTAGTAGGTTTGACTCATCGATCAGAAAAGCCGGGAATCGATCCGTGGCAGTGTCATACGGTACTGATGTTTAAATGGTCAGTTTTACCTTCTGTGCTTAGTCTACAGGAAAAGAAGAGATCTAGTGATAAAAAACTGAATTATTCCTTAATTCATTCATCATCAGTGTTCGTTATCCCTTCGAATTTCTATTGAATCAGGAAGCTTTCCCGATGGTGCTGGGCCTCTACCTGCCAGCTACGCTGCTAATCCCGACGAACTGGATTCGAAGCCACGATGGCTCTGGATCCTGTGTATAATTGAGTTGTCTAGTTCATGATCTTCGTCTCTGTAATAATAGTGGTGTGGTCGAAAATCATATCCTTCCAGATAGCCAGTGTTTGAATGCTCAAGAGCAGACTCATAAATACGTTTGCTTTCAGGAACGTTGTATTCTCTCAGTTTAACGACTCTGATCAGGTGGTGGTGACTCCTTTATTGGGGCTCTTTCTGTTCTCGAAGTCGGTGATGATGCCACTGATGTAGAATTCCATTTCACCGTGAAATCCGTTGATGTTCGGGAATGTACATGAGCATCGCGAATTAGGCTGCTTTCAAAGTTGTGATGTTTGTATCCGTTTTTAAAGTTCGATCCTTCCGTGTGTCATACAGCTTTCCAGAATTTGTTGATGCCAGTCCAATATGTTGGTTCGTTTTAGGATTGATGTCGCTATCGTTAGCCGTTTATTTACGAAAAATTGTTCGCTGACTCCATCTCGCTCCAGCAGCAGAACATTTATTTGATCTCAACGAATTGGTACAAAACTACTCCCTCAGAGTATCAGTTCAACAGAGGCACTGGCTTGCAAGGTATAGTCTTTAGAGTGATTCCGTATTTACAGAATCTAAATGCAATCGAAACACTCATGACTAGATGTCAGAATAGAGGCTGAAGAACAAGTCTCTAACAATTTTCTTTGCAGTAGAAGGACGTACAAAAATAGGAGAAAACCGTTTGCATACTGCATGAGCTGTAATAATGGGAATAAGCACATTTCGGAATTCGGAAGAAAACTAAAGAAACTGTATAGAGGATGGTGTTCTATTCATAAACAGAAGGAATGAAAAGGGTTCTCTCATGGAGGAACACATCTTGAATAAAAGATACGTTTTCCAGTAGAATTGAAGCAGAATATTCAAGTAAAGGAGTCAAATAAAAATTTGGGAATACTCTTTATACCGTTATAAGCAGACTAAAGGAAGAGAAGATACCGATGATCTGATGAGTGTTATTACGCCGTAGTAGTTACTAATAACACCTATAATTTCAGCTCTTAACTCCTGGAGTAAGTAATTTTTGTACTTTCCAACTTTGTGCTTACTCTACTTTTCAAAACTTAGAACCTTCGTGCAGTCATAGCAGTATTAGATCTCTTTCCGGTCAAAACCGCTATTGCGGAATCGATCAAAGTTTTTCGTCCCCACGGTGGAAGGCTTAGCCACACCAAGTCTGACCGATCCTCGCCACCTCATAGTGCTAGGTGGCTGCTGATCTTAGTGCCCAGTCAACATTGGTTTTGCATTCAGTCTCATTCAATAAATGCAGGACCACATCTATGAAGGCATGGTATATGAGGTTACCGGACGTTTTCTTGTCTTTAAAAAGATGAAAATGGTTGATTCTATATGAATCGAATTTCGACTAAATTATGTTCACGGTATAATAATATACTTAATATATGCTTCGCAGTATAATGATCAACTTATGGTGATTATCGGTTTAGGCGTCCTTTATGCGTTGTGACGAAGAGGTATGAAGTTCGGGGAACATCTTGCTTCTCACCTGACACCGGAATGGAGGAAGCAGTATATACAATACGGCGCGATGAAGGTGATGGTGTACGAGATACTGGAGAATTTGCCAAGCTCTGACCTGGGTGTCCAGTTTCGAGAGCGGTACATCGCGAGGAAAGACGAGAAGTTTTTCAAGTTCTGTGCCCAGGAATTAGAAAAGATTAATTTGTTCTTCAATCGCAAACTGGCCGAAGCTCACGAGAAGTGCCGTGAATTGATGTACGAGCTCGAGCAAGCGTTGACCGTCGGTGGCATTGCCGAGGAGCGCGCCAAGATTCCGCAGTCGTTGAAGAAGAAGCTGTTGATGCTTACAAAGGAACGTCTGGCGCCGAAGCCTGCCGAGGACCAGGTCATCCGGCAGAGGACCATATCTGAGCTGAAGAATGCGTTCAGCGAGTTCTATCTAAGCCTGGTGCTGTTGCAAAACTATCAACAGCTGAACGCCACCGGTTTCCGTAAAATTCTGAAGAAACATGACAAAGTGTTGCAGACCACTAAGGGCAGCGAATGGCGGATGAACAACGTCGAGAGCGCATTGTTTTTCCTGAACAAGGATATCGACAAGCTGATCGAACTGACCGAAAATGCGTTTACCACCCGCTTGGAGAAGGGCGACCGGCAGGCGGCGATGAAGCGACTAAGAGTGGCGCCGTTCAGCGAGACGCAGCAACCACTTACAACATTTCTGCTTGGCTTCTATCTCGGTTGTTTCGTTGTGCTGTTGTGCCTTATGTTTTTGAGCATCGCACTGTTTGTGATACCCGGGGAACCTCGCTGGGTGGCCGTACGTCTGTTTCGCGGCTTTTTCATTCTTTTCGTAAACATCTTCCTGATGGGTGTAAATATGTACGGCTGGCAACGCAACGGCGTCAACCATGTGCTCATATTCGAAATTGACCCTCGCCGTCATCTCACCTATCAGAAGCTGCTCGAGATCAGCACTATGTTCCTGATGGTGTGGGCACTGTGCATCTTAGGCTACCTGTACGCTGTAAAGATCGGCACTTCACCGCTCATCTTTCCGTTAATCCTGATGTCGTTTTTTATCGCATGGACTTTCAATCCGTTCAACGTTTTCGCACGTAGCTCCCGTTATTGGCTGCTTCGACATTTATACAATTGCTTCACCAGCCCTTTCCATCAAGTGACATTCCCTGACTTCTGGCTTGCTGACCAGATGAACAGCTTGGTTACGTTGTTTCTGGACTTTGAATATTTTTGCTGTTTTTACTGCAGCGAAGTGGACTACTCTCATGGAATGCAAATTATCCTGATGCGAAACGTCAACTTTACAGTCGGGAACGTTACGATTTCAAAAGAGTCGTCATGGGGAGTTCATCCCTCTAACTATAGACTGGACAGGTGTAGTAGTAACGACTACGGGATCAGACCGGTGATATCACTTTTACCTGCATTGATCCGTTTTCTTCAATGTCTAAGGAGGTATAGCGATTCCAGATCTGCATTTCCTCATCTAGTCAATGCCGGCAAGTACAGCATTACGTTCTTCGTGGTGATTTTCGGAGCGCTTAATACTCTCCACAAGCAAAAGTATCATTTGTCAAATGCGCACATGTACGGACCGTTTTTCTACCTATGGATCATTGCGAACGTCGTTAGCTTTTGCTACACGTACACGTGGGATATCACCATGGATTGGGGTCTACTTGATCGAAACTGTGGTAAAAACAAGTTTCTCAGAGAAGAACTCGT